AAAGGAGACAGGAAGTGAGTATTGGGGGGGCGGGGGTGTAAGAGAAAGAGGAGGAGTGGGGAGAGGGAGATCTGAGTGAAGCGTGCGTCACAGACTACTCCTCGCCTCCGACTCCTGGGCACATCTACAAGGACTGGGCGGAGTCAAACCCGTGGTCCAATGAAAAAAATAAAATTCATACAGATCTGAACCACGGGGGGGGATTTACCCACAATGCATCAGCAACATTCTAGAGCCAAGCAGATTGAAACCACACAGTCCTTACAGATCCCAGACCTGAGAGAAACTAAACTTCTGTCTCAAAAAAAAAATCATCTCTTCAACAAAATATTCACAGTAATACATACTGATGAGTACTGAGTACTCACTGTACACCCTGCCGACTAAAAAAAATTGACATGTTGTGTTTTAAGGTGTTTTAAAGATGGTTTTAAATAATGTAAAATACACATCATGATGATGATCATCGCCATCGTCTCTGAGCCACGAAGGAAAAGAGCTGAGTCAACCCCGCTGCAGCTTTGGCCAAGAAACTGCACATACGGGCATGTGTGTATAAACACACACAGGTGGGTGGGGAGTGTGTGTGTGTGTGTGTGTGTGTGTGTGTTGGTGTGTCAGCCATGCTCTGCAGGAAGCTCGTGTAGAAGCGCAGCCGTTTTCCTGATGATGCGAAAGCATGATGCAAAGCCACAGGGAGGAAAAAAAAAACAAAAAAAAAAAAACCCCTCAGCAGTGATAGATGCATGTGATTGGCCCAATTAGTCCTGCCGTTAACAGTGATTGGCTGATGGGCGTTGGTGTTGGTTAGAAGATCAGAAGAGAACGATCACACTGTTGATGATGACTCACCTCTGATGACGTTGGTGTTGGTTAGAAGATCAGAAGAAAACGATCACACTGTTGATGATGAGGCTGCGCTGACTCACCTCTGATGGAGCTCCTCCTCCACCGACTTCAGGAGACTCCTGGGAAAAAAAACAAAAAATACATTTTTACGAGGAGAAAATCAAAGATTCCTGATTCGTCCTTCAGTTTTCTGCTGAGCAGGCACCAACAGCACGAGTTATAAATAAACGAAGGAGCCTGGATGATGAAACCTGATACACTCTTTTGTCCAAGTGGACGACGGGCAAAAATAAACAGGAACAACGGGAAAAAAGACAAAGGTCAGGAGCGGAGACACAGAAGACGAATGTAACATACAAAGAGAGGAAGACGAAACCTGAAGAGTGACTCACTTGTTTCCTCCCAGCAGACTCGGCGAATCATGTCCGTAGTCCAAGTGCAGGTCCTACGGAGACACAGTGGACATTAGCACGGTGACGTGACGTGACAAGTGGCTCATCAGTCATTTGTCTGAGGTCAAACACGATCCTGACGACAGTGGAATGTATCAGTGACTACTGTTAATGAAGCAGCGGCCGCGGCATTTACACAGCCTGCTGTTAAAACGGACAAAGAATCACAGGAATCTTCAGGCAGCTGTTCTTTCACATTGTGGCAAAATAAATGAAAAGTTGAAAACTGCAGGTAGAAATATTAATAAAGTCACTATTTTTTTACCTATTATTGATGAGTAATAATTAACAGCCTCTACTTCGTCCAGAACTGACGATAACGGCCACAATGTGAACGCAGCAGCATTATGTCATTTATAATTATTATTATTTTTAATTTAATGACAGAATGCAACAAGCGTGATGAAATCACTGAACACACAGAAGCGTCCAAACACACACACACACACACACACACACGGCCTCACTGCTCTGTTCAACTACAGAAGGTCAGAGGTCAGAGGTTAGAGACGTGGTTAACAGTGATGTGAGAACACATTCTGCAAAGAACGACAGATCAGGGTTTTACCTTAAATTTAGTTTGTAAAGTTTGTAATCCAAGAGGACAAATTTAATGCTGAGTGTGTGTGTCAGCAGCTGGATGGATGTTTTTACTGGTTCAGGCTTTTTTTTTCTCCAGGAGTAGAATTTATTTCCAAGCATGGCATAATTAAAAAAAAAACATCATCTACATTTACTGTATCATGTGCTAAAAGCTAAAAAACAAACCCCATTTTATTGGGTTGGATTTTTGTTGAGCTTCAGGATAAAAATGGGAGTTGATTTTTGGGATTAAAGGTAACATTTGAGACACATCTGCAATAAATTTGAAGAAATGGATTTGACATAAAAGACAAAAAAAAAAAACAAAAAAAAAAAACCCCAACACCACTGAGAAGACTGGATAAAACTACGACACCAGTTAGTGAGGCAGAAACCAGAGCTGGAAAAGAGGTGAGAAAACGGACAGAAACAGATGGACCGAGCTGAAGGAGGAGAAATAAAAATAAAAAAAAGTTAAAAAAACAACAATGGAAACAGAGCAGCCAAAGCCAATCAGCACTGTGGGGAATGAAAAAGATGGGGGGGAGAGGGGGAGAGGGAGAGGGAGGGGGGGATGGCAACATGGCCAACAGAAGTAAAAAAAATGTATTCTGTAGAAACAAGATGGAAATGGAAAAAGAAATAAACGATAAAGAAAGCCAAAAATAAAAGAGGTGATACAAGGGATAAAAGAGAGAGAGAGAGAGAGAGAGAGAAAGGGGGAGAGGGAGAGAGTCGGATAGTAGGAGTACTACCAGATTAGATCTCGCGGTATAGTAGAGCTCCTCAACACAGTCCAGATAGGGCTCAGAATCACACTGGTCAGCAAGACAGAGCGAGAGAGACCTCAGTTAATATATTAACCTGGACTGATGGAGGGGACGGGGGACGGGGGGACGGGGTGGACACACAGTGG